CCCGGGGCGCTTCCATCTGGTTTTGGGGTCCCTGTCCCTTTAAAACTTCCAAAAAGCACTTGCCAAAAGAAAAGAAAGAAAATAATAATAATAATAATAATTTAAAAAAAAGAAAGCCACTCACTTTTCTTTGTCCTATGGCGCCAGCCTTAGGGACCCACTCCCTGGTCCTGCTGCTCTGTTTCCCTAGTATCCAGGGCCCCGGGCATGCACTGTGTCTGCGCTCTGGTCCGGATGGCTGGGCCTGGGTGTTCAGCAGCCCTGGGCTCCCTCTCCCTACCCACTTCGACTCCTCTCCACCCACCAGGAGCTGGGGGGAAGGCGCTCGGGACCCGCCGGGCTGGGGTTTTTATCTTACCCCCTGTGCGAGGCGCTGGGTTCTCGCAGGTGTGGATGTGGTCTGGATGTTGTCCTGTGTCCTCTGGTCTCTATTCTAGGAAAAGTCGTCTTTGTTATATTTTCATAAATATATGTGGTTTTGGGAGGAGATTTCTGCTGCTCTACTCACGCTGCCATCTTGGCTCCACTGCCTTATCTTTTTATTATTGATTTGTGAGAGTTTTTTGTACATTCTGGACATAGTCCTATGTCAGATATACACATTGTAAATATCTTCTCTTTGTGGCTTTTATTTTCATCAATTTAATGGTTTATTTTGATAAACAGAAGTTCTTAATTTAGTGTAGTCCAAGTTATCAGTTATTTCCTTCATCATTAGCACACTGGGGGTCTATATACCCCAATGTCATGAAAATATTCTCCCATGCTATCCTGTAAAATAGTAGTCAGCAAACATTTCTTGTAAAGAATGAGATAATAAATATTTTAGGCCTTGTGGGCCATGTATGTCTCTGTTGTGGCTATTCACCTTTGCCATTGAGGTGTGAAAGCAGTCATAGACAAAATGTAAATGAATAGGTGTGACTATGTTCCAATAAAGTTTTATTTATGAAAAACAGAAGCAGGCCAGATTTGACCCACATGCTATAGTTGCTGAGTTTTATTGTCTTGTCCAGCCAGACTTAATTTTGTAAATGGGTAATGTATTTATTGTGTTCCCAATTAATCCAGTTTCACATATTAAAAAGACCATAGTTACTCCACTGAACTGCACCATGGGCATAAATCAAATGACCAAGTATGTGTTGTGCTGCTTCTGAGCTCTGGTTAAAATATTTGGCTTTGCTTCTGTAAGGTGTCTGTGGCATGATCATCCTGGTCATTTGAATGTATCAATTCATTACCTTAGATTTTGATTGTTTAATGTGATATTTATTCCTCAATATAGGTGAAGTGCTTATTTTAAACATTGGCCTAGAAATGCCAGTGAGCCTGGCTTCAGATATCACAGGGACTCCTGGTGTGTGATCCATGACAGTGGGCTTTGTAATTAAGTGACCATTCTTGACCCACTGACTGGCTTGTGATTGTGTTACAATGGCCAATTTAAGATTCCTTGACCTCACAGCACCATTTTATTCACTGACTGGTTTCTCCTTGAAATATTCTCTTTCTATGATATTCATGAATGTAACAGTCTGCTGATTTTCTCCTATCTCTTTAGCTGTTCCTTCTTGGTCTCCTTTTAAGATTTATCTTCCCTACTCAGGCATCTGTCATTGGGATTCTCTCAGTCCTTGGTCTTGTTCATCACTCTCTCTCAGGCAATATTCCTTCTCTAGACAATTCTACCAATGCCCATCATATAATATGCAAATGATTCACAAATGGTGTCTCTAATAGAGTCCTGGATCTGTGCAGATACTTCTCTCCATGTCTGAAAAGCATCTTAAACTCACCATATTCAAAACTGGACTCATGATCTCCACTCTTCACCCCATCCAGCTCATCTTTTTTACATCAAACCCCATAAAAAGTATCTCAGTGGTTTATCTAGTTATGCGAGCCAGAAGTTTAGAGGTCGTCTTTGGCATGTTCTTCCTCCTTATCACTATATCCAACCCATCACCAAGCTCTGCCATTTTTCCCTACCAAATGTCCCTCCAGTGAAAAATTTTCTATAGCCCTTTTCATTATCCTAATTCAAACCAAATCTTGCCTCCTGTGGACTATTACAGGAACCTACTACCTCACTTACCTGTATTCAATCTGTTCTTTATATGATCTGTACCCCTAAATGTAGCCGAAGTGATATTTTCAATACAGAAATCTGATGATATGGCTCCTAGTTAAAATTACTTTATGTTTTTCAGGAGGAAGTCATAACTTACCAGAAAACTATTATTACTGGCCTACCTCCCCAGTCCCTCCTCATTTCATATTCCCTCCTGCCTTCTCTTCTTCACCATACCAGTTATCTTTCAGTCTCTGGTTTGCATGGCAAAAAATTTGCCATTCTTCTTCCTGCCAGAGGACCTTTGCCAAAGCTCTTCCCTTTGCCTGGAATGCTCTAACCCACTTTCTCAGCTTTGTTAACATCTGTTCAGCTTTAGATACCAGCTCAAGTGTCATTTCTCCAGAGATGCCTTTCCTGATAGTGCTGACCAGGTCTCTCCTTGACTCCATAGCACTAGGAATCCCTTTTGTACCATCTGTCATTGGTATCCTTTTATGTTTGTGTGTGATTATTTTATTAATGACTGTCTTCCTCATTAAACAGAAATCTCTATGAAGAAACTTTGGGTCTTCTGTGCTTGCTGTTTTCCCTCCAGGACCTAGTATGATGCCTGGAACATAGTAAGTCTCTTGCAAATACCTGCTGAATGAATAAAGAGATAAGGTGATTATTTATTCTGACCTTAACCCACTCTATTAGAAAATCAGGACTACTCCAAAACTCTGCAACTATTTTTAATACAAGAAATTCGGGGGTTAGATAATACTGAAATCTTATTGAGCCTCAAATGTGGCTTTTAACTTAAGAAACAAACAAAAAAAAGCATGCATTGTCTCTAGGTAGATTCCAGAAACCAGAACCTCTTAACCTGCAATAATACTTTGCTGCTCAGAAACAGGTCTCAGATGAGTTCGTGCATCCAGTAGGCTCATTAGGCTGGTATCATAGCTCCAGGAACATGCTGTCCTAACATCCTAGAATGTATTCCAAGTGGAAGCCAGTAGAATTTCTCTGAACAAAATAGAAAATCAAAGGTACTACTGTATCCTTGGGGAAACTGCAGAAGTCAGTGCCTGAAAAATACTTTGAAAGATGCAGAGACAGTGAGAGGTATCGCTTCCTCTTTTAACCCATTTATTTGAATTATACCCTTCTCACAAAAAGCTGGGTCTTGAACAATAAAAGGGATTATTGTAGTGTACTTAGGTGGTCACCATGGTGTAATTGTTATTCAGTCTAGTGCCTCTGTTCTGGAGCCAATCAACACAACCTCTGATACATCGTTATTGATTTGGGGAATGATTTTTTTTTCCCTTCCTTTGTTCAATAGTTTGAAAGCATCAGAACAGTTTCCTTTTACCTGGCTTTCGTTGTCACCTTGGGTGTCTGTCACATGGAATCTGCAGAGTCTTTGACCCTTTCACCACAGGATATCATGCTGATCCACTAAATTGAATACAAAATACTAATTGCTCTTGGTATGCCTACAACACTAAGCATTGTAGAGGCTTTAGTAAAATACATAGAAGCAGAATGTTGAGTTCGATTTCCTCTGGAATTTGTTGAGACATTTTCTCTCAAATGAAAGACAAGTTGCTTTACTTTGCATCCCTTTCCACTAAGAAAGTCTTTATGGGTCTCTATGAATTTTAGGTGTCTGTGAATTTTGGAGCAAACACATACCACATTAGTTGTGTTTCCCATTTGCAAAGTAACTCATAAGATTTTCAGCTTTGAGAGGGACCCAGAATAAGAGAGAGAGTTCTCAGCTAGTTCATGTTGCAAACAAGTAGGTCTCAGTCTTTTATGATCCAGATATCCAACAATCTTCAAAACATCTGTGGTGAACGGGGTGCCATGTGGAAACTGTGGCAATTCCAGGTCCCTAGATTTTTATAACAAAATCATACTCTCTTTAGCAAATAACTATTTTTCTTTTGAGAAAAAGTTCCAGACTTCCTTGTTACTGGGTCCTGATAGAAACTGAACAACTCTCCTTGGGATGTCAATGAACCATGCAGCCTGAACTTCCTATCATGAACTGGGTGTCCTCTAATACACCAAGTCATAAAATGCACAGAAATATGCTAACATTAAATAGAAAAGATTATGTGAGTCCAGCTTCTAGCAGGTCTTAACCTCAAATTAATTTTCAAAAGTAGGTAGCTCATCTTTCCAAATGCATCTACACCTACTATCTTATAATACTTCTTCCTCTATAGCTATGGCCTCTTGAGGAGTTCCTTATGACCACATAATTTAGGAAGAAAAAAAAAGGATCCTAGTTCCCAGAAGGTTCTTCATGACATGATGGCACCAGCCAAAAGTGAACTGCAGCAGTATTATATACCACTCAGGTGGCGGCAGGAGGTCTGGAGAAGAGATATATGGATGGACCCCCTAAGCAAATATTTCTGTGTTCATGTGAATGCAGAGCAAAAGGTACCTACCACAAGAAAGCTCTCAAAAATCTAGGTGGATATAGAATTGCAAGAGACTCAGAGTAGCCAAAGCAATTTTGGAAAAGAAGTACAAAGTTGGAGAACTCAAATTCCAAATTTCAAAACTTACTACAAAGCAACAACGCAACAGTAATCAAGACAGTGTGATGCTTGCACAAGGGTACACATATAGATTAATGGAATTGAATCGAGAGTCCAGAAGTAAGAATACAGGTCAATGGTCAACTGATTTTCAACAAGTGTACCAAGATCACTCAATGAGGAAAGAATAGTCTTTCCAAGAAATGATGCTGGGGCAACTGGATAGCCATATATAAAAGAATGAAGTTGGACTCTCATCTTATGCCATATAGAAAAATGAACTCAAAATGAACCAAAGATCTAAATGTAAGAGCTAAAAACTATAAAACTCTTAGGAAAAAACTTCAGGTGAACACTCAGAGCCTTGGATTTTACAAAGGATTTTTATATATGACAAAAATATGAGAAATATGAGAAAAAATAGACTGGACTTCATCAAAGGTAAAAGCTTTTGTACTTTAAATGACACCATCAAGAAAGTGAAAAGAGAAATCACAGAATGGGAGAAAATATTTAAAAATCATATATCTGAAAAGGACTGGTATCCATAACATATAAGAACTCTTAACAACTCAATAATAAAAAAGATAAATACTACAACTTAGAAATGGTCTAGTCATCTGAAATAGTTCTTCAAGAGAGATACACTAATGATCAATAAACACATGAAAAGATGCTCAACATGAATCATCAGGGCAAATCCAAACCACATGGGATACCACTTCATACCCAATAGGATATCTATAATCAAAAAAGGCAGTAAAGTGTTGCTGAGGATGTAGAGAAATCGGAACTCTCAAATACTGCTAGTGGGAATGTAAAATAATGGGAGTGGAAAGCAGCTGATTTGGAAAACAGTTTAGCAGTTCCTCAAATGATTAAACATACAGTTACCAATTGACCCAGCAATTCTACTCCTAGGTATATATTTAACAGAAATAAAAATATATGTCTACACAAAAAAGCTTGTACATGAATGTTTATAGGAGCACAATTCATAATAGTCAAAAGGTCAAAACAGCATAAATGTCCATCAGTTGACCAAAACAGTTGATCAGTTAAACAAAAATTGGTGTATCTATGTACTGGAATATTATTCATCCACAAAAAGGAATGAAGTACTGATATATGCTACAACATGGATGAGCCTTGAAAACATTATGCTAAGCGGAAGAGGCCAGTCACAAAAGACCACATATTATATGATTCCATTTATACAGAATGTAAGAACAGGGGACTATATAGAGATAGAAAGTAGATTAGTGGTTACCTAGGCCTGAGGGGCTAGTGAAGAGAGAGAGTAGTAGGGTGAATAGCTAAAAGTATGAAATTTGATCTAATTTCAAAACAACTCTAGAAGATGGCTTTTATCCTTATTTTACAGCCAAGAAAACCAAGCCACAGAGGCACTAGTAGTTGCCCAGGTCTTACAGCCTGCATAACTGGAGTCAGGTTGAAAAGGAAAATTGTTTTAGGTGGAGGCAGCTAAATCCTTGTTCCACAAGCAATGAACAAAATGGTAGTGTGAAAGGGATGGAGGCTAATTATGGACTCAACAATATGGACTTCTTGTCAAGGTTGGACTGACACTGCTGAATGTCTAACTTCCCTGTAAGGAGGACCAGTCATGAACCCCTTGTATAGTTCATTTTATATAGTTTTCTTTTAATCCTTTCCAACTGGGAGGAGACAAGAGACAATGGAGTAGACACTTTTCTGGTTACAGATTTGTCTTCCCTATCTCAGTGTTGTTATCGGCAGTCCCCCTGACAGCCCCTTACTGTGGATGTAATAAATGCCTTATTCATGGACACGCTACCCCATGATGCATTGCTTATGACGGAAGAGCTGAGTTAATGTGGAAGAAGTGGAGTCAAGTCTCATACCCACAGGAATATTTGGCCTTACCACATATCCCATCACTCAGATATCCCTAGCTTTATAAGTAGGTAAAGTAGATAACTGAAAATACAGTTTGAGAGACAATAGCTTGTTTGGCTGCATATCAATTAGTATAAGTTCTAGTCTTGTGGCCAATATATGGTGCTATTTCTCCCACAGACAGAATTCACAGGTCTAGGATACAAGAAAATGAAGTGGGAGGGGCAATTCCTCACTATGAAATATAGTGAACAACTCATGAAGTGGTTTGTTTCCATACACTTGACTTTAATCTTCCAGGTTTTAGCAATGGTAGCTTCAAATAATTGGAAGTTGAGGTTGCCTTCTGACTCTTTGAAGTTCTTCGTTCAATTTAACCAACAGGGAGAAAATGAGGTCCTTGTGTTGTCTCGGGAGATTGGTTCTGATTATCAAGGGAAAATACAGTTGTTATTTATAAAATGGGATCAGGTACAAG